ATAATTATCGATCGCTGATAGCTATAGCCTATATTGCTATAAATACATTGATTGTTTAAATAATACATTTCAAATGGCATAGTACTTGGTATATAATATAATACTATTATACAAAATTATATTATATAATAATCTTATAAAAATAATTTAAACTATACAATTTTAAAAATTCATAAGTAAAGAAATTTCTGACCACAAAATTTTGGCGCCCCTAAAATACTGGCGCCCGGGGCAGTTGTACCCAGCGCCCCCCCTTAAATGCGGCCCTGATAAGATTCCATATTTTAATACCATGATTTATTGTAAATACAGAAGTATTAACGCAATTGCCAATTGGTAACAATGAAATATTGAAATATCCATAAACTGGAAAACTGCTGTTCAAACGAGTACAGAAACATATATTATATACCTAATTGAATCGAGTAACAAAAATCAATAAAACAAATTAATCGCAATATTTTATGAATCTTAATCTTCTACTATTTATGCGTGTGTAGTAATAATATTTGCTATTATATTGACATGATTCATATTATATCATATTATAGAAACAGCTGTAGCTATTACGTATTAGTACAAAATCGTATATTTAATCAGCGATCAAACTCGAAGTGGTGGAGAAGTGGGGTAGTTGTAGTTTGTATGTCTAATGCCAGTAGGTAATCATAAATTTGGGTGCTTTCGTATAATATCGGAGCGCTACGTTGGAATTAAATGAGTGATTAAGGGGTAGACGACGTGTTGCAAATCACCGGTTTGGACGGGCCACGATGGTGTCATTAGAAAGGTATGCCCAGTGGCTAAAGACGTTTGTTAAAGACCGCGTCTGCTGGAACTACTGTAGCTGTAACAGGTGTGGATTTCCCATCACAGTAGTCCTAATGCAATTATTTTCTCGTTTATGGTTTACTATAATATGGTCTTGATACCTACCGCTTTCTTTTTCAAATATGATTTCATATTTTTCTCTATCAAATTCAATCGGAAAACATCGCTAGTACACGTCATATCACACATACAATCTGCTGGTAAACAAACAGACACGAGCAGGGTTTTTTATTAATCACACGGAATCGGATTAACCACCCGCTGTACCACATACGATGTGCACAACAAAATATCTCAGATGTGACATACCTATGCCGCACCACACAAAAGCTTATAAACAGTTTATTTATGTGTGTAAATGTGTATTAGCGATTTACTTTCTGCATGTGTAACCTCCGATCCTGACCATGTTTGAGTTCCACGGATAACGAGTCACGTGTACTTCCATGTTTCAGTTTATGCAATGTTTTGTATTTTATTAACTAAATCTGTATTTTTTTATTAATATATAATAGTTAATAGTACCTATTATTATTACTCATCGGCAAATACTTTCAATATTTTAGAAGTAGAGTTCACAACTTTGGAGCACTCTGGAGTAAGGTATTAACCATCAACGTATAGCTTCCATAAGTTCTATATGATTTAAGATTTTATTTTTACATTATTTAATGTACCTATTGATTGCGTTATCAAGGTTTACCCATTGAGTCTCGATTTTTACATTTATATGATACGAATTCTGGAACTTGAATATATTTTTAAAGTAACACACTATTGGTATAGGCATATCACATGATCTATACCTAGGTACTGTAATATCTGTGAAAAGGGAAATTGTGTGAAAAAAAATTGTTTTTAATAACATACTCTAGTCGTTTAGCACTATAAAATTCTTTAAAGTAGGTAGAACAATTTTGGGCTCTATTAAAGATTTGATTTTTGAAGAATAGGCCCAAACTCGTGGTACAAATTATAATATTGTGTTAATATATTATATTACATATTAATATATTTTTTAATACATATAACTGCATGTTATCGTCTTCATAGTTATCATTTAATTTTGTAAGACTTAATTTAAGAATGATTAAATTAAGTTTTTTTTGTAAATAAAAGATAACTTGAATAATATTTTAAACTAAATGTACAAACTTATTAGTTATTATGTTAAACATGTTTTTAGTTGACATTAAATTATAATACAAGTATAATTATAATTATACAATAATATATTCTAATAAATTATTATTTAGCTTTTTTTTGCATTTTACCTGTTTTTGAATCAAAATCTGTCATATTTTAGGAAATTATATCTTACTAAATGTGTTTTTAGATTTTTGTTAATCGAATTATCAAATAAATTGTAAATGTACCTGTAGATTAAAAATAGACCGATTACGATGATGCAACGCCCCTACAGCTATTATATATTGGTATGATATAATACTAAGATAATTTCGTAGGTATTTGGTTCTAATTTTTGTTATCTGCTGATTTTGTTGGGTTTTTTTTATCGATTTCTACTGCGATTATTAATCGCCGATTATCAATATTGTATAGTCAATTAATGTTATACAGTCGTCTCGTGTGCTCGTACTCGTGTGCAGCTACCTATTATTGCGAGAATATACAAACTGTTCGTCATATTATTAGATTACTCGACCAAGATGATGCGATTAGAATTCAAAAAGCAAAAAAATGTTTAAATCAGGGCTTGCAAACATTATAATAACGTTATATTTGATAAAAAACGATTGAAATTTGTAAACGTAATTATAACGGAAAACGATAAATAAATAAATAACACAAAACAAAACGTAACGTTTAACAAAATATATGATGTATCATTAAACAAAACATAACGCAAAACGGTATATATTGTACTCCATTAAACTAAATAATTAATTCCCAATTATTTAATAATACTTAGTAGTATTCAATTATTTATTCAATTCAAGAATTAATTTTATTCCGTATCTGGCCTATCCGGGAGATCCCGTATTAGATATTATTTTAAAACTTAATAAGAAGTTATTAATAGAATAATTTAATAACCAATAGCTAATAATAGTGATGCTCTAATAATATTGTACTGTACTATCTGTACTACGGTCGAAATGTATACCACTCAAGTTATTCAACTATTGTGTTCGGTGTTCAGTTTGCTCAGATTTATTCACACGTCAGTGTTTGTCTAATTGTTATCAAATGTTTAATATTTATATTTTATACTAATATACTTATAGTTTTAACGTGCATACGTTTTCTTTATATTAGTTTAACCCATTTAATTAAATAAATAAAATTAAACAATACCTACTTAAAACTCAGAATAGGGAAATTATGTCCCCAAAAAAAGGTCATATACTTTAAAAATTGCGGCCTGTGTACTTTTAAAACAGGTATCTAAATACTTTTAAATTTTAAATAACGATAAACGCAAAATTAAAACAGGTATCTAAATACTTTTAAATTTTAAATAACGATAAACGCAAAAATTGTATAACGTTTTAATTATGAATAACGATAAACACAAAAGTTGAATAACGTTTAAATTTTGAATAACGATAAACTCAAAATTTGTATAACGTTTTGATTGTAAATAACGTAAAACAAAATTTATTTTTCAAATGCAAGCCCTGGTTTAAACAAACCTAATCTCGAAAATAACTTGGCATACATTAAATCAAATTTTTCTATTTTATCCGTAGCCATTGATAAATTGCAAACAAAAAGTCTGACCTTAGCCACATCATTAAATATTATTGAAAATATCGAAGAAACACTGAAAACACTAAATGGTGAACATGGTAAACCTCTAAATCTCAAATTAAAAAACGTATTAGAAAAAAATAGTGGTTTGTCTAAATTATAACATATTTCAAATATCTTGGATGGTGAATAAAATACAAATATTGGTGAATGACTTGGTGAACTTACATGTAGCGATATTGTATATTTCAAATACGCACCAATTGTATCAGTGGACGTCGAATGTTCATTTTCGACTTTGTTGGCAGACAACTGCCGTAAATTAAAATTCGATAACCTGGCCAAGCATTTAATAATTAAATGTAACACTCAAGGTAAACATTTTAAATCGCTTACTTTTTATTGAACATTTTTTAAAATAATTAATTGGGAAATTTTTTTACAGCCCTTCATGATTCTGATTAGAGTGACTAAACTACGTATAATAATTTAAAATTTATAAGTGATTATTGATTAATTAATAAATTTCCTTTTTTTTCATTTTTTGTTGTTTTTATTGCATATTTTTAACGCATATTTAGAGTTATATTTAGTTAAGATCATATTATAGCTCATATTTACGCAAATTTTAAGTGCTATAGAATCCCAATCCTGATTATGAGTTATCACTTAATTATAGTTTGTTGATTAAATTGGGATGTTGATATTAATAACTTTAGTCCATAAACGTTAAAAAAATATGGTTCAAAATGTGTTTTGCATGTTTTCCATTTTTCAAAATAGAATAAATAATCAGTTGAATTTTAGAAAACGTTGCATATTATGAAGTAAAAGTGTACAATATATAATGTACATTTTATGTTCTACTTAAATTCTATAAATCAAAAATAAATTCTTTGTTATTTTTTGATATTATAATCTTTAAGTTAAAAAATGTTAGCACAATATTATAATTTATAATAGTATTATTAGTCTTATATTGACCAATATTTAATAATATTATATTATGCTGCGACATTTCTTCGCGCCCCACAGTTCACAAGTATTCAAGACCATTCAAAAAAATTAAGTCAAAATAGTCAACTATACGTCTGATGACTATAATACTATACAAAGGTAGGTACCAACAATTATTCTTTATTTAACAATAATAATTTTTGGATACTCTTGTAAAAAACTGATCATATCAGACGTTTTAAATCTTTAACTTGAAATCAGTGCCTACCTATATATTTTAAGTGTATCAAAAATAAAACTATTTTTTTTTTTTTTTGAAGGTAATTGGTAAATGTAAAACATTTGCTTAAACTAAATAAAAATACTGATAACTATTAGTAATTCCGATGTGCAACATCCAGTTATTATGTAAACATCGTTCGATTGTTGGTTTCTGTGGTTGCCACTATCGATACTAGCGCATGCGGTGTTTTTTAGAGTTCTGACCGACAACGGCTTCGGCGAAACACATGGCCAGTAGACAGTAGTATTCGTTTCGACGTGGTCGTATATACATTCGTGCACTCCGTCCTCTAGAAATACTCGTACTTCTTCGTACCGGAGTCTCCAGAATAATAAAAAGGTAAATAAATAAATAATTTATCAATTAGAAAAACATTTCTTTAGTAATATTTAAAATAATTGAAAACTATACGATAATCACATCTACAAAATAATTTTTTTATACTAGTTACATGCATTAAATATATTCTTAAATATTTAAAAAAAATTCTTAGTATTTGATAGCAGATAGATATCAATATTAAGTTTCAAACACTATGTATATCACAAATCTTCATTCGAAAAAATGCATTATTATTGAGATTAATTGTTCAGTTTAAATTTTCTATCCATTGAGTATAAATATTTTCTTGTTATAATATTCAAAAAAGAAATAATTATAGAAACTTAAAACTTTTACCAAATATTTAAAACATCGATTTCTAGACATGATATAATGTTTTTAATGTTTATGGTCTTTTTTTATGTATAGGAATGTTTTTCAATTTATGTATGATAATCTTTTTATGTTAAGTAAAAAATCTTAAAAACTTAATGCCAAAATAAAGTTGTTGTGACAGCAATTAAAAGATATAACAAATATACCATAACTCAGCGTAATAATTTTTGTTATAAGTATTTACAAGTTTAAATTCTGACATAATTCGTGAAAACCTCAAAAATATTTAAATTATTTTGCAGTTAATAGTTCATTTAATTTAGTTTTCATATCTAAGGATTGAAAATGTAATAGAATATACTTCAAAGTTTTTCTCATTTGAATTATTTAAGTCAAGCTTAAAACCACATTTATTATACTTTTTATATACTTTCGATCATATAAAGTTTAAATTGGACATTTGATTTTCCTCAGACGATTTTATTATTTTGTAATAAATCAAAAAAATACTAATCCTAAAAGTGAAACATTCAGCTGCCCATTAATTAAATTATCATTTTCCACTCGAAAAAGCTTTTCAAAATATTTTTTAGTTTTTTCCTAAAAATTGCTTGAAAATTAAAAAACTGGATTTTTCATAATTTATGCTTATAGAACTTGAAACTTTTCAGTTTTCCCTATTACGTGTATTATTATTTTCTGTACCTACACAACGAAATTGTATCAATATTTAAACTAATTTTAAGCTATTTATACCACAAACCTACTTACACAACGTTGTACTTTACACATTACCGACTATAAGTAAATAACAATAATATTTGATAGGCACACCTAATATAAATTATAATTAATATTTAAATAATTAATTATGAAAAATAATAATTTAATATATTATGACATAAATTATATTAATAATATGCTTTTGGCAAAAACTAGTTCAATACATTTCGTACCACTATTAGAAATATAAATAAATTATAAAATATCCTTAAAAATAAAGACACGCCATTTACGCTCAGAATCGTTTTTCTTACCTATGTAATAATTTATCATTGAATTTAAATTTAACCTTTTATCCATTGAGTGCTGCTCAGTAACGAGGTACACGCGATACCAACTTTACAGCAGTGTGCCTTACCCGGACACCGGGTTTTTTTCAATCCTGAGATTGATCTAAGACTTAGATATCCTATTCATGTTCTATTTGTCATGTCACTTTATCCTTAGGGGAGTATAATGCAGTGGTTTCCACTTGATTTTTGCATCCTCTGCATAAGTCAGTATTTTAAAATTCCTCGAGCGGTCGTCATCAAACCCTTTCAATGCTGTTAGTTCTGCCACAGTTATTCCACTGGGTTGATACTTGATAGTAACGGTTACTGGTGCCCACTACTACCTCCTTTTAATAGCTTCTCATGGTAAGCGGGAGCTTAAGTATATTCCTCATCTACTGAGCAGTGTATTCTTAGATTGATGGGGTCGTAAGAACTAATTTTCACATTTTGGTAGATAGGTACTTCAATTGTGTTTATTCATGTATAGGTACTAGGTAGTAGGAACATATATTATTTTTTTCAGAGTAGTTTATTTTATTATAAATAATTTTTGCCTAGAATAAAATTTGTTACTGAATATTTTCGAGTCCACATGATCATACTTTTAAAGGTTTATTTATTTTAAAACCATAAAGATAAAATCTTAGAATGAAATCGCATTTTCAAAGTACAAGTTACTTATTATATATGTTTATTACATCAAAATTAAGTTTCAATATTGGTATAATATTTTATGTCATTGTAATATTTGTGATCATTTTTAAACGATGTTAATAACAAATAATTAATATAATAGACATTAAATAAAAATTCAACGTTCACAAATATTGTGAAACTAATATAACTTTGTTTAATAAACTACAATAAGGAAATTTTTACTTTACTTTACAATTTTTTTTATATAACCTTACTATAGTTATGGTTTTTGTTTTGAAAAAGTAGATATTTTTTCACTGTGATATAAGATACTCTATCGTAAATCTGCAGTTGAATAATCAACAAACCTTTATTCAATAATATTAAACAAAACAAATATTTTAATATTTATAAAAACACCTTGATTTACTCTTGTGAAAAAACAATAACTCATCGTAGTTTATTTAATGCATGTGCCTTATTTATTTATGTAAATTCGTTTGGAACGTGAAAGAAAATATTTAGGTTTACTGTAACTAGAAAATACGAACAGTTTAAACAATTTTCGTCGTTTTTTTACTCGAGTAAACTTTAGTGTTTTCAAAGACAATAAAAATATACTCTATACCTGTTCGGTGCAGTAGAGCAAACTATTTGGTTTCCTTTGTCGAACTTCGTGCAGGCCGTCGAACACGATACACGTCGTACAGTTTTTTGGTAAAATACAAATCCCGAATAATACAAGTTTAACGACCCTCATTACGGACGCGGAACCACTACGCGTATTACATGCTATTGGATGCATAGTAATAACTATTGCGCGTTTATGGGTTTCGATTTCATATCCGTTGAATAAACATTCGTGTACACGTACCTATACGGTTTCGGTCGTCCCTTCCTTATTATTTTCATAATATAGGCACAGTCACCATGTTCCGTAAATACCTGCTACCGGATCTCAATCATCAGTCTTCGTACGTGTCAATTGTCACTTCGGGATTTGGATGCAATACTCGGTCTGCATACGTAATTGTATCCACGGAAAATCAATGTTTCAATATCATTTCCCGGTATAGTGATGGGTATCACCGTAGCAGTTATTATACCGTGGTAGCCCAAGTGAGCGTGGGCGTCTCCTAGCTATAGCCGTCGTATTGTGTACCTGCCTATATATATATATTGTACACTGACAGAGTACAAACGGGTATTATAATATTCCGTGCGATACGGTCTTTCAGCTCCATAGCTCTTTCTGTTGTCTTGTGCACTGCAGCATTCGATAACTATAGGTAATAACACAATGCGCGAGGACAATAAATAATCTGATGAATAATAATAATATAGTCGTAAGACGGACGTCGTCTGTGTACAATAATTTTAGTCGGCACAATTCTCTCGACGTAAGTCTAGACGGGTGTACGTTTACGCGTAGTCGTTGGATTTGGCTTTGACGGAGTAAAGTTAGAACTTAGACGCTTTTATGTATAATATAATACTGTTTAATAACCCGAGTGAATATAAAATAAACCTAAGTTTATATAAGACGTTTATAATGAGTGTATAATGTACATTAATGCGGTAGAGAATATAGTTTATAACGACATTGTAAGTAGAAGAAGTGAAAATTGTCAAATTGTTCGACTTTTTGAATTACTAACACACATTTAATAAATACTTTGAGTGAAAAAACCTAAATCATTGAATAATTAATAGATAATTAATAAGCTGTTAATTATGCCTTTGTGACAAAATCTCCAAGATTGTTGAAAATTTGGATTTTTTCTCAGACTACACGCTTCATAATACTATGCTAGCGTTTATCGAGCATATTAAATTGGTTATTGCAGTACCATTAAAATATAAGTACATTATATACATTTCTTTTACCACCAACTTCCCCGATATTAAAATTTGGCGGTATGAAGAGTCATCTTCAGTTTTACTTTTGTTAACCTTTTTTCGGCGTGTAAACCGTACTTATTTCTACTTACATTGTTGTACGAGTACACTTATGGTTGTACGCGGATCTTGAAAGCGAGACTGTAAAATGACGTCATTCGTTCAGTCGTTCTGACCTTTATATGTCACGTGTAAACTGGTGTCGTTGTATTCAATTTATGCTGTGGGTAGGTACATAATATGATATTATATACTAAAAAGTTTGCTCTCCACCGTCTCAAACGTAATGTGCCGAAACGCATGTACCTACCTACGCTATGTATATAGTTGTTCTACCCGCGAACGTAGTTCGGGGGAACTGTGTGATTTGACGATCCGAGAATAATCAGGTCAACGGTAGCCAAAAATAATATAACAATACGATTTCGCGAGTGTGCTGGAGTGAAAACAAATACCCCGAATCCCTGATACCCCGATAGTACGACGACCACCGATTGGAAATCCTGCGAATAACAGGTGTGCTCACGCAGTCACGCTATTGTGTAACGTGTCGAACGTGTATAGTTATCGTGTGCGTGGGTTAGGCGCACCGCAACGTGTATAATAATAATAATAATACACCTAAACCCACCTATTCTAAAGTAATGATGTTTAAGCAACGCCAGCACGGTATAACAACACGGGGTGGGTTTTAATGTGTTTTTGTACATACACCGATATATAATAGTCTGAGCCACCGCCGTCGTGTAAAAGTTATAATATATATTATAGCTCGCGTCCTCGTGGACCTTCGGGACACGATGACCAATGACCATATAATGTGGTGCACACCACCGACTGCCATCAACACACTATCTATACAACAACCCTGCCTCCCCCCCATCCTTTTACCATCATTGTGTACCGTCGTCCTGCTAATATATCTTTCGTTTGCCCATCTACGCTGCTTACGCCAAGAAAAATCTCTAAACGCGTACAAAATATGTGTTTCAAAAAATTTGTCTTTATCGGCTCGTGCCAGTCGTGCGTACACCTATACAAATACCTATTGCTAGCATAATATGATATTTGCATTATCAAACGAAAGAG